AAGAATCAAGTACCAAGATATCATTCTTTTGGTTTTAGGCAGGTAAAATCTTGGCATTTAAGTTGTTATTTTTATTAACAAATATGATCATAATTTATTTCTTAATATTTATCACAGGCTGTACTACCAAAGGGCTATAGGTTATACCAGTGGTTGGCAAACTCATTAGTCAAAAGAATAAATTATCAGCAGCAGGACCATTAAAAAAATTTTGAGAGCCAGATTTCGTTTCAAGAACCTGTTAAGAACCATGTTTTTCTTAGTCAAAACCGATTTTGTGGACGACTGGCCGAGCTGCCCTCAGGTCACTAAAGACCAGCATGCGGCTCTTGAGCTGCGATTTGCCGACCACTGGCTATTATAACTATCACCTATCAGTTTTAGCATATGCCTTTCTTAAAAATACAATTGAAAATCTAAATAAATTTATTTATGATAATATAATGTCACATATACTATAGTATAAACAAAATAACTTTATAATATAACAATTATACAATTAGCCTATTAATTTTGCAAAAGATGAAATTATAATATTTTTTCTTTATTTATTTATAAATTATGTAGGTATTATTTTTAGAATAATTTTAGCCTAATCATTTTGAAGAGTGCTTATGACTCAACATAAACACATGATTTATAAGACACCTATGAATGAGACACCAATAAAAAATGATTTTCAATGATGAGAATGCTCAAAATACTATACTCAATGAATGACAATGTTTCAATGAGTGACCAATACCACTTTTCATTTATTTATTAATTAATACAATTTAAAGTGATGGTGAGGCTATAAGCTAAATAGCAAAAATGGAACTAGAATAATGATTTTGAAAATACTCACTTTTATTAGTGTTGCGCTTTTGGTCCAAAACTTTAGGGAGGATGGCTCTTGTTCGTTCTTTTCCTTGGATAAAACTTTGTTGCCCCACTTTCTCAGACTAAAGTTTCAGGTTTTGTTGTATTTGTATACTTCAGCAGTAGAAAATCACTACATTGTATTTTTCTAGACATTTCGGCTTTTTTATATTTATCTTATTAATGTTTTTAAATATTTTTTGTGGTCACCTGTCGTGCGTTCGGTTGTCTATGGGTTCAGTTGTCAGTGTGGTCACTTGTCTGTGGGTTCACTTGTCCGTGGGTTCACTTGTCCGTGGGTTCACTTGTCATGGGTTCGGTTGTCTTGGGTTCAGTTATCGTAGGTTCACCTGTCGTGCGTTCAGTTGTCCGGTCACCATTATATATTATTCCTATATGAGTATGACAAAACAATCAGTATGTCATTTATTTTAAGTTTGTCATCTTGTTTTACAAATCAACATGTATTGTTAGAATCAACTTTGACTTGAGAGGTAAATAGAAAATAAAATAAGTTATAGTCATTTGTTTGAGGTAAGTACAAGCTTTTATGATTGTTCTTTAGTAATATCTATAAATATATAAACTAATATAAATTATTATTATATTAGTTGTAATAAAAGCTATTTATCCCACTCCCTAAATCATTTATAATAGTATAATTACCATTATAATACTTTTACTAAGCCTATCTAAGTCAAAGACAAGAGCTTATCAATCCCATGTCAGTGTCAGCCAGGTCCATGGCAACCAACCCAAAAATTAAAATCACTGATATTCAATAAGCCAATAATAATTATTTATGTTATAAAACATTTTTTATTTATATAAAATGATTTATTATTAGTTACATTTCCCATTTACACTCTGGATAGCCAACTTAATGAATTATTAATTACTCCACGGCCGCTATCGATAATTGGAAATAAGCAGAAAAGCACAGTGGCCATGATGACAAATTACATAGCCTAAGCCTAAAAAAATGACATCTTGGAAATTCGTTTTTGAAGCCCACCCATGGTCTACACTCATGAATTTTGGATATGTTGTAAATGAACCTATAAATTATAAGAGCGGATTTTTTTTATTATTGAGCGCATTTTTTAAAAAAAGTTATTATTGAGTGACGTTGACCAATTTTTAACTTCAATTTTCAAAGCTTTAAGCTTGACCAAAAAAATCAAACGAACTCTAAATTAAAATATAACAGGAAAGATGTCGGCTTTAATTAATTGGCGGTAGTAAAATTATATTATCATGCTGAAAATCGATTATAAAACGTGAAACAACGATACCCTCAGTAAATTAAAAAGTAGAGGTCGCCATTATGACAATGAAAATACGATACCCGTTTTTCGGGTATTTCCGGTCGATACCGAGGTCCCTAATTATTACCCTTTTCTTTATTATCCTTATATTATCATGCCTTATGACCTTATCATATATTATATATGCATTACTTAAATTAGATACTTCGATGAAACAAGGGAGACTACTACTTTTTTGTATCGGAAATGGGCGTCGGCGCCGAAAAATCCGAGTTTTTAATTTTCCGATGTGTGTGTCTATTTATTATTAAATTAGTTATTTCGACATATATTTGAGTTCCGTTTCCGGCCTTATCATTTGAAAGACATCTTGGCCTACATTTCTAGCCAGCTATGTTGCTTTTTTCAATCGACCTTTGTTTTGAAAATCTTTGGTGTATATATGGCATCTTCACATACAAAATTTTTTGTCAAATAATAAGATAAGGCCATTTTTTATTAAATCTGTATAAGCATTAGATATTGATCTATATCTGTGCCAAGTTTCATTGATGTAGGTCGTGTCCCACGTTCGTTACGCTTCTCCCAGTGACCCATATCACCATAAGGTGGCTCAGCCTAATTTCGACATGACGTAGGCCACGCCCCCTTTTTAATGGCGGAAGTTGCCGATACTTAGGAAATATTTAATTATTACCACTATATATTATTGGTATATTATTATATTATTTTATATAATTTTTTATTTAATATATTATTTTATATTTTGTGTTTCAGAATGCATTTTGAAGACATTTAAACTGGAATGTTTTATTTTGAGCTTTAAAAACCCTGTAGAGTCCATATTATAAATGATCAGAATTTTCCCTATGCAACACGTCATTGGCAACCATACACAGCCACTTGCATAACGGCTATATCGTAGTACTATCTCAGAGTTTCATTCATAATAGTTTGCTGTGTGCAAAAAATATTAAACCATTGGTCAGGGAAAGCTTTAATTAATTATTCATGTGCCAAAGTTGAAAGTTTAAAATAAGTCGACCCTAAACAGTATTTTAGTGATAAGGGAATGCGTTGCTTTATATAAACTATATAGTCATTGTGCATGACGCGATCAGCGGAATGAGGTCACAGAATGTGGAGATGCAGTCCATGTTAATGTTAAAAAGGACAAACCAAGTCATACTTTAAAAATTCATAACTTTAAAACTACAACAGCTAAAAATATGATTTTGGTGTTATAATTCTGTAAAAAAAATAGCTCTATTCAACTATCCCATTGGTTTATTTTTACAAAATTTTTAAATTTTTGACCTAAGTATCTACACTTAAATGATTAAAACTTTAACTTAAATTAAAAATTAAGGCAATGAAATTTAAGCGCGAATAATTATTTCTAGTGATATAAAATTAAAGCTTCCTCTTTACCTGATGGAGCTAAAGGCTTAAAATTGCGTCTTTTTGTTTGAATACAATAACCATTTAACAAAATAGTACAAGATTTTTTTTTAAAATGTACATTTCATGATTCTTTTGTCATTGACGACGCCATTGTGGGAAAATAAGCAGAACTCTTGTGTCTTCAAAGATACGTTATAAAAGTTGCCCAATAGGATATATTTAGATTTAAATATTTTTTTTTTAAATTTTATAAATCTGTCTACTTTGTCTGATATTTCTTTCTAGCCCACTGGATCCATGCATAGCAATGTAAAGGTGGTTCTCGCAAAGGACCTCAATATCAGGGGGCGCATTCGCTCAGGGCGCTGCTTTTCCTTTGCACGGTTGTGCATCCGTTACGGACTAACGCGGCTAGAATTTTGAGGGTGGGGGTTAAGCGGGGAATGATTGTTAAAACTTTAAATAAAATTGTCAATTTACTTTCTTAAAATTTGTGACAGTTTCGATTTCTTTCTCAATAAATAGCTGGTGATTTGCTAAGACTAAGAGGCAAAAAGCTGGAAAGTAATGAAATATATGTCAATTACGAAATAAACACCATTAACAGATTACTAACAAAGCAACTTGGTTCCATCAAGATACATATAATCACTAACATTGTCTCTCATTTTACTAATCACAAACCAAAGTCAACTTAGGAGGCATCTAAATAATTAAGTTACATCTATCAAATTAGAGCTGACCAACCACAGACCATTTAATTAGCTTATTTGCCTACTATGACTCACAATTGTCGAGAAAATGTCAATCCATTTGCATAGGAAGGGGGCTGTGGAAGGGGTGGTCCACACAGGTACCACTTTTTTAAAAAAAATATGAGGGGCGGCATTTTTGGCGAGCTGAAGAGTTGTTGTTTTTTTTAACTTAGTGGTAGCGAGTGGCACAACTCTCTAGTTAACATATCGCAACATAATCCCTGGTCCGCTCGTAACGGTTCCCAGATCTGCTCATTATGAGGACACGTGACACATCAACCAACGCTTGGACATTGATCGCTCTCTGTTGTTGATGGGATTCTATAACGTGGTCCATTAATAATTAAATTAATATTATTACTTTTCTAAAACTCAAATGAAAACAATAAATGTATCTAAATCATCTTGATTACTTAATTTTAAAAAAAATATATATTGATCTACGAAAATGGCTTAAACTAAAAAATAAAATTAGAAAGAAAAAAAAACTACCTGCACTAAGAAATTTTAAGCAAAAAAAAAACAAACCCTGACTAAAAGAATAAAACTATGAATCTATGAAATAAGGAGAAAAAACTTCTTTTTTTTTTTAAATTTTCATACTAGTATTGTTATCACACCCAGCTCCGAAGCCATTTAACCTATACGGAGCCACTCTGGGTCCGAATAGCCATATCACAAATTTAGCATAGATACGGCATCATTTGCTATCAGGAACCTGGATAGGCGAAAGACAGGGATGATTACTCATGTGTTTATTATATAATTGAATTATCACATTTATAATAAATATATTATTCATAAAAGCATCATATGGCGTGTGATATTGATGAGCTCGAAGTAAATCCATTTTACAAAGCACTCCAGGTAGGCCTAAACTAAATTTAAATACTAAATGGTAAAGTATAGGCATAGGCCTAGGCCTAAGCCTAGTAGTGCCTAGTAGTAAAAGTAAAGTACTGATTATAAATATCGCCTATATACTATATAGTATATAGGCCTACTGGTAGTTTACTTTTTAAGAATGTGGTTTTTTTAGTGTGAATATCTTCCAATAGCTTCTAGGGATCTTTTTGTAGTTAACGACCCCATAGCTTATACTTATAGTTATAGTTATAGAGAGCTATCGGTCTCAACCAGTAGGCGTAGGCTACAGAGTGTAGCTTCTACTTAAGTCTACTACTACTACTTCTAGGTGGCTGGGCTTATGGTAGATTACTATTACTATAAATAATAGTCTATACTTAATAATTACTATTCATTATACTATAAATTATTAAAAAAACTACAAATTCAATTGGTGATAGATTGATGTAGCGCAGTATTGACTAACTTAAACTAAGTTAAAGTTAAGTCTTAGTATTGGTAGTTTCTATTATCATTTTTTATTACTATTAATTACATCACTGAAATCACTCTTAAGTATGGATGTTGCCAAAACAAAAAACGTGTGCCAACAAAAAAATTTTTATGTTTAGTCTCATAAATTCACTCCAATCGGATTTTCAAGACATAATAATAATAATACACTTATTTTTCTTTCTTTATATTATATATATATATATTTCATACTATGTAGACTATCTTAAAACATTGATAACTATTATCATTAAATAAATAGTAAATAGTGATTCCTAGACGTTAAAATAATTTGTGTAATTGATGCACAATATCCCCAATGAAATTGTTTAATTTTACATAAAAATATTGATGCCTTTATATTATTTATAAGTAAGATGTCCTGTTAATGAATTCAAGTTTAGCATACCTTGTTCGTAGATTTCATTTCACAACTTGAATGCAGTCCATCAATTATATCTTTTATAAGTTAACGAGGGCTCAATTGTGTAATTAATACTCAGTAGACCAATCTCGCAACAGAAAAAATAACGGGGGGGAGGGGGGGTTCGTCATGTTCCTAAACAAAGATTGACCTAAGCTTATGTTATCGTCTTTAAGCCTAATCACATTATTATACAGTTTCATTCAACTAAACATTCTAAAGTAACAAGATTTTTTAAAATATGCACACTTTGTATGCAGTAAAACTATTATTATGGTAAATATATTCAAAGATAGTACTGTAGATTTTATAATTAGTGCAGAGGTGTTATCACTAGTATGAACTAGTAATGAATGAAGTGGGCAATACTTCCCCAGCGTCATTGAGAGCGGATATTTCAAGCAAATATTTCAAGCTCCAATTTTGGTTTGATTTGATTGGCTGGACTACCAATAGCTCTTTAGAAGCTATTGGTAGTTTACTGCAGATAGCTCCCTAGAAGCTATTGGTAGTTAGCTACCAATTGACATTTTCTTGTTAGTAGTAATTAATAGCATTTGACAACTATTTATTAATTTTTAATTAGCTTAGGTCTAGCTAATACAATTATTCAATGAAATCTTCTAGACTAATTAGCTATAAATAGAATTTTATATATATATATATATATATATATATATATATATATATATATATATTTATTTTTAATTAGCTTAGGTCTATCTAATACAAATATTTAATGAAATCTTCTAGACTAATTATATATATATATAATTTTATATATATATATATATATATATATATATATATATATTTATTTATTTATTTATTTTTTTTTGGAAGCTATGCATATGATTATGATCATATGAGCTAGATTCCTCATTCTTATTTTGAAATTCACTATGATGACTAAGTTAAATTTAATTTTATAAAGTTTACAGCCTTAATAAAGTTTGTAGGGCTTATTATAACAATAAGTTAAAGGTAATAATTCATTTTAGTAATTTTTAGCTTGATAAATTCAATGCAAATTGAATTTCTTTTTTGTGTGTATTATAGTCAATATTTAAAATATTTAAAAGTCAAATGACATCTTTTTGTTCAAATACAAGAACCTTTAAACAAATATCACGAGACTAAAAAAAGCAAAGTATATTTCATACATCTTTTGTTATTCATGGTGCCATTGTGGTATGTAAAAAAAAATACCCTGTCTTCAATGATATGTTTTAGTTTTATTTGTGTTGACCCATTGGATGTATCTAGATTTTAATAAATGTTCTATTTATCTTTTTATTACTTTAGTTATGTCTAGGTGTTAGATTATTTCTTTCCAAACAGTGGTGGCTTTGGACAAGTTTAAATATCTAGGTATCTTTTATCGGTTTATGATTATGAACTAATAGTCTAGTTTAGCTAAAAAGTTATATTTCATATATATGTAGCTCTTAAATTAACTCACAAATTGCTTTATAAATAGGGCAGTTATTAAAACTTACCTTTTTCCTGTACAAAAATGTACGTGAGTGTGTTTAGGGGGTGGGGATGGCTGAGGTTACACAATCAGTTTATACCACACCCTGTTTCGCAACTTTAAGAGATGCATCTCTGTTAGCAGCTGATTTAAATGTCAATTTTTTTACAGTTAATTTAATGTATGGTGTTTACTTTTGGTCTGAGACTCGGAACATTTTTTAAAAATCTTTCCACTCATCAGCTGAATAGACAATAAACAAACAGATTTTTATATTAAAAATTCCTTTAGTACCAATGAAGATACATGACAAACTAATAGGAAAACAATAAATGATTGCTCTAAAAACTATTGCTTGATGTAGTTCAATCAGGTAACTTGGGCGTATTGAATTTATCCCCAAAAAATAAATGATTACCAAGCCTATATTCAATTTTTTACCCTAATTCAGCTTTCAGCAACCTTTTTTGAGTTAGGAGCCATTTTTAGTGAGGCTTTCTGATTAAAATCAAACGTTGGAAGCCTGTAGACTGTTAAAGGTTGGAAAGGGGGGGGGGGGGGGGAACAATTCTATTAGTATTATAAATAGGCCTATTTAAAAAATGGTGATCATGATGCTGATACATTTGTGCAGTAGTCAATGCACTAGGATTAAAAATACTACTAGGCCTATACTATAATGTAAGAATTTATAATTTAATTTCATTCAAATCGGTATAGTTTACTTTAACTTAAATGCCCAGCTATTGTTCACGGTTTTCTGATGGCCCAAAATGGGAGACCCTAAGCAAAATAATTAATTCTCATGACTCCTCCTTACCTTTTTTATGCATTACATTTTGTTAAAAATTCTATTAAAATGAGTTAAAATTAGAATTGTTGTGAACAGCAGATGGATGCCCTCTGGATAAACTGCTGTCATAGACCTGATGAGGGCTTTTTACTTAATTGGCCGAAGCATACTTTAAAGCCTCAAGCACAATATTTACCACCCCACCCCTCCTCCCAAAAGCTTACTGTCATCTTGTTGCTAACAAGGACATGGACATTTGATAACTTTTCAGATATCAACGAAGTGAAAAGAAGGTTGCGCTCTAGCATTTGAAACAACTTGCTCTTCATACACCCCCACCCCCCCCAAACCATACGTTTTCGAAGACTCCAGCTAGCTGGATATTTTCCCTTGTCAAAATTTGTCTCTAAGGCACTCAACCCATAACTGTTCTTTGGCAGCCGTAACATCACACAAGAAGAATGCTGTTGATGCCTGCAAGGAGCCTGGGCTGCCTATCAACCTGAAAATTACACCCCTTCACTGGTTTGGCCATGTTGAAAGGTGAATTAAAATAGGGGAACATTCTGCTGGAGGTCGATCCTTAGCTGCAAGGACAAGTGAAAGAAAGACATGAAGGGAGCTTGTATTAACATCAACAATATAAGGGGCTATCCAGAAGCATATACTGCATTATGCCTTGCCCTCAACTATGGATTTCAGTGGACAGAAGAGTTGCAGAAGGCTTGTCTTGCTGAAAACAGAGCCAGCTGAGTGCTATGGAGCAACAACCTTAGATGTTCACACACAGCAAGGACTGCAACTCAGAATCACACATGCCAACCAGGGGGATCAAAAACTGTACCGGTACAAGAGTCCCAAAAAAACAACTGTATAACGACATGAAAAACTGTACAGAACAAAAATTAAAAGTTGGAAAAAGGAATTATTTATAACGGTACCTTTTTCATTTAAGTATCGATGTTTTAAAAGCATTCAAAACTTGCCACCTTGATGAGTTTGAAAACCTAAACAACAAGTATATTTTCCACAGTACTCAGTAAAAGACATGTCATTGAAATAAAATTTGCAAATAAAATCTCCGCCCTCGTAACTTTACCCCATAGATTATTTACATGATGGGGCTGAGAAAAGAAGGATTTAACAGAGGTAGAATCTCCCTTCATTGCCTCAAAGTTTTGTATGTGCAACTATGTTTTAAAATGTGCTTCACTGTCATAATGGACTGAAGCAGGCACTTAATTGTCTTTTTTGCAAAATGCATCAGATTGATGAAGCTTTGATAATTCTCTGGTATTTGGGTCAGTCACTTAGTTATAATAAGATCTCAACCCCCCCCCCCCCCCCCCCCGCCTTTTTAAAATTTTTTTTTTTTTTAAAACTTAGGATCACCCACTTAATTGGAAGTTTACAGCTGTAGTAACAACAGAAAGAAAGAATATAACTGTGATTCTTGCGGCTCTAAATAAAATCTAGACCAATGAAGAAAATGGCTTCCACTTAAGTGGTAGAAAGTGTTAACATGTTTAAATTAATTTATGCCATAGTGGGCCTAGTGGCTAAAGATCACTAATGTATTTATGTTTAGGCCTGGTGATATTAAAAAAATTTAATTTAATAAGAAATAAACATTCACTAACACAGCAGTTCTTGCTAAGAATTACAGAAACAGATTTTTATATATGGTTTACTACTCAAAGTAGTTGCTGCTACCGTTACCACTGTAAGGATTCCCACATAACAAATAGTGAAATTTCACGTAGATGTTGGTCGAACCTCACCAAGAATACTTAGATACTGTTTACCTATCCAAACATTGGGTCAAAGGTTGTTTTGCAGGACCAGTAATAATTAAATTCCGTGACCTACAAGGAATTTATTGTAACTGTAAAAATTATGGGTAAACTGTACTGATTGGCATGTGTTATATAGCCTAGGTGTTGACCTAGTTGTTCATCCTGTGAGGTGTAAAACCATGGCATGAAACCCTATACCTCCCCCTTTGTCTTTGTTACTGACGTCACCAATTAACTAGGTGACATGTGCTGCCATTTCTTTCCACCACTACCCTTCATTGGGAAAGTTTGTTTACGTTTCCAGAAAGGTCTGTATAGAGAGAGAATAATACTCTCTGACGGTTGAATTTCAAGACTTTCAGTTCTGGTGGGTTCTGGTGCTCTCACTATAAATATGACGGTCGACTTTGAGAAGCAGCATTACGAGACTTACAGGAGCCCCACCAGACTTACTATATTTTTCACTGTGTGTGTGAATTACGTTTTTTTTTACTTTTCTGGTATTAGACTTTTTCACTTGCTGTTTTGTAAGTTAAAATAGTTTTTAGTTTTGTTTTATGATTTTTGTGTTTTAATCAAAATAATCTAATGTAATAATATAGTTAAATTGATTATTTTTAATATCCCTAGCTTTGGTACCAGTATTGTTTTTCTTTGTAAATTGATTTTTCAGGCTTTTGTTACATATTGTTCATCTAACTAGCCAAATCTTAAAACAGATTAAATTAGTAAAACCATAGAACTGTACATACCATTTTGTATGAACTCCAATAAGCTATGACATAGTCTCATGATGTGGACCTACATATTACAGTCATTGACTTCTGCACTTTGTCAATTTAAAAAAAAATTGTGTACATTTTTCCTGTTTTCATTGTATCCCTGTGTTTACAAGAGACAAATGATTTGCAATATATACATTTAATTAAAATAAGGGGCTGGGTGGCCATTTAAAAAAAAAAAAAAGAAAGTCTTCTGAATATTTTCAAAAAGAAAAGAGAAACAAAGTAGATTAGCAATAACAAATACTCATTCATATTTCATATTTTAATTTCTATACTCCAATATAACACAAAAAAAGGGCTCACATTTCAAACAGATGATTTATGTAGAATTTTTAACTTAAATTTTAAAAATGCAGGAATAGCTTCTTTTTTTTTTTAAATTAAAAAAACCATAGCAAATATTCTTAAATATTTGCTATATAAAACCGGAAAAATCAATTGTAAGGAATGATGGGGAGTCAAAAAGTTGAACCACGCTATGCCTACCATTACATAGAGTAAGATTGACATCATATATATTGTTATTACAGACACAGAAATTTTAACCAAATTGCTATAAATCCGAGCAGAAAATATATTTTTTTAAAAATCAAGATAAAGACATTGGTTTGAGAAGAAATGTTGTAGTTTCAAAGGCACTTAGGATTAGTAGTGTCAAAAACTTTTTTTTTAAAAACATTTTTATCTTCATTGTCAGCATCTTATATTATCATCATCAGCCTTAAATTAAAAGTGTGACTGTTCATCAGGGTCACTGTGACCGAAATGCAAAAAGTGCTATCACATAGATAGGGGACTGGTTATGAGAAGCTCATCACAAGAATAAACACACAATTAAAAAATTATTCCAAATGCCTTGCTGAGCAATAATAAAAATTTTCTAATTATTTTTTTATTCCATTAAAAAAAAAAAAAAAAAACTCTCTTATTACCGGTACTATTAGAAATACAGCTTCATTTGAAATAGTCTAATAAACACACAATTAAAAAATTATTCCAAAGGCCTTGCTAAAAAATAAAAAAAATTTTCTAATTATTTTTTTATTCCATTAAAAAAAAAAAAAAAAAACTCTCTTATTACCGGTACTATTAGAAATACAGCTTCATTTGAAATAGTCATTTACTTTTGATTGAGTCTGTGTGTTTCATTTGTTCATTTCACTTAAATCTAGACATGGATTGGAGATGAGGTATCCTTTGGTCATTTCACTTAAATCTAGACATGGATTGGAGATGAAGGAAAATAACTACGGACACTGGCACCTGTCAAGCTCTAGTGATGAAATAACTCATGACTTGTTTGTTGTTTTTGTGTTTCCACTCCAGTCCCAATATGTTGATTTGTATGAAAGAGCCCAGGAATGCTGTTATCTTCTTTGTATACCACAGTCATCCACTATCAGCTCGAATGCCATCAACACAGACTTTGTTGGTAAGGTTTCATTGACAAGGAGTCTAACATTATGCTAGCTATTTAAAACTTGATCAGACTCAGTCATTAGTCATCTGTGATGTGGTTGTGGAAAACAGCTGATGGTATTAGTTAAGTCTAACAAAATAACTACATTTGTGAAATTAAAAAGTAAGAAATCCATATTTAAAAAAAAAAAATCATGTTTCTCTGTGTTTGTGTGTGTAAAAATCATGTTTCTCTGTGTTTGTGTGTGTAAAAGTTCATGTTTCTCTGTGTTTGTGTGTGTTTAAAAATCATGTTTCTCTGTGTTTGTGTGTGTTTAAAAATCATGTTTCTCTGTGTTTGTGTGTGTTTAAAAATCATGTTTCTCTGTGTTTGTGTGTGTTTAAAAATCATGTTTCTCTGTGTTTGTGTGTGTTTAAAAATCATGTTTCTCTGTGTTTGTGTGTGTTTAAAAATCATGTTTCTCTGTGTTTGTGTGTGTTTAAAAATCATGTTTCTCTGTGTTTGTATGTGTTTAAAAATCATGTTTCTCTGTGTTTGTGTGTGTTTAAAAATCATGTTTCTCTGTGTTTGTGTGTGTTTAAAAATCATGTTTCTCTGTGTTTGTGTGTGTTTAAAAATCATGTTTCTCTGTGTTTGTGTGTGTTTAAAAATCATGTTTCTCTGTGTTTGTGTGTGTTTAAAAATCATGTTTCTCTGTGTTTGTGTGTGTTTAAAAATCATGTTTCTCTGTGTTTGTGTGTGTTTAAAAATCATGTTTCTCTGTGTTTGTGTGTGTTTAAAAATCATGTTTCTCTGTGTTTGTATGTGTTTAAAAATCATGTTTCTCTGTGTTTGTATGTGTTTAAAAATCATGTTTCTTTGTGTTTGTATGTGTTTAAAAATCATGTTTCTCTGTGTTTGTGTGTGTGTAAAAAAATCACGTTTCTCTATGTTTGTGCATATAAAAACAAGAAGTGTCAACTAGATCTATCAGATCACGACTGTGTTATTTTGATATGAACTGAAACAAAGTTCAGGGTTTATAAAAATTCAATAATTTAGTCATCAACTCAATCAGATTTATTTTGATTTTTTTTTCAGAAACACACATCCTACGACCGTCTCCTTATTTCAAAGGGTAAGTTTTTATTAATGTTTGCACAGCTTTTCCATTCAATGATCAAGTATGGGAGTGGGAGGGCCTCTCTGAATCAGCTTACCGTTTTTTGTTGTACGCCAAGAATGATAAGTTTTGTGAATGATTGGAGCTCAACATCTGTCTCAGTGTATGGAAGATGTGTGTTTGTTGTAATTTTCTAAACTACGTCATAATTTATATTTCATCAGACAGTTTATGACAACCCACTCATCCAACAGCAAGACATTGGGCCTATCGGATGACAGTCGATACTTCAGAACCATAAATGGTGAGTGTAAAATCTTCTAGATTCTATCTAAATATAGTAATGCAATATAGTTTATAACTACCTGACCAGTCCCAACTTCCTGTCAACAGCAAACCAAGTTAAGGATATTTCATCCTCCTGTTTTGTTATTTTTTAATACCGTTGCGTCTGCTGATGAAAGCTTTCAGCCAAAACATTCTCTTGACTGTCATGTATTTTCATTCAATCGCATAGCTTGCTCTTACAATTAGATGCCATTTGGTTGGCATACATCAAGAGGGCTGAGGCATAAAATTCTGATATTCTGTTTTGCTTTTTATTGTTTTTTTGTCAAGACACATTTGTAAGCGCAAGTGAGGATAATATATTCACAAACTCTTCTTCAGTTGTCAAAAAGGTCTGTTTATATTTTTTATGTTGTTTTTTGTTGTTTCAACATCTTGTGTTATGATACAAACCAACATGAGATAAGTTATTATGCTTACAATGCTTGAATAGAGACAATGGTTATGTTGTTTTTTGTTGTTCCCACGTTTTATGTTATGATACAAACCAACATGAGATAAGTTATTATGGTTACAATGCTTGAATAGAGAAAATTTTTATGCTACTTATATGACTAACTTAGTTTGTAATTTTTTAATTTTTTTTTAGGGTTTACCGTCACAGAAGAAATTCACATTCTTGGAGAAGAATTGGCATACAACAGGGTAGGTAACCAGCCATTAAGGGTGAACCTGATTACATGCCATGTTACTAACCATAATGACTCCATGTGGGTACAGGATCTGTAACTGACTAGGAGCAAAATTCACCCACTGCCATCCTGATTGCTAGTTGCAAGATGCAACTACTACTAATAGTAGGTTTTGCATTGGGTTAACAACCCATTCGTGATGCAATTGAATCATTCACAAACCCTCAAACCAGCCGAAACTGAAAGGGAGATGAATTGTTGAATACCTGTCTACAATGTCCAGTTATGCAGATTATCTCTTAATTAATCAATATATAATTAGAGAATATTGTATAAAAACTTTACCATCATTGTTTACCCTAGACACATACAAATGTGAGATAGGTTTTGGACAAAATGTTTTGGATCATAAGTCCTTTTTAATATTCATTCGGCAAAAATTTTATTATTCCTAAACCTCCTTTATGAATACATATTAAAAAAATGATAGATTTGAATGAACCCTTGCAGTCTCACAGAACTGCACCTACAGATGTATCACAACCATAAATTACTTTCTGTTACAGGATTATAAACCGTACAAGATTCTTATCCTTGACAGACCACTTGACTCTAAATTTAAGGTACCTTTACAGTCCATTTTATGAACCGCTACAGTAATTTTTTTTGTCAATTTACAAATACATTTTTAGATTTAAAAAATAAAAATTTAAATATAATGTAAACATTAAAAACACTTACTATTAAAATTTAACTAAAGTAAATGAAAAAACAAATAAAATTTTAAAAGCGCTGTAAGTTAAATCACATGTAGCTACTATTTTTGTAAATGAAATACTTCATAAAACCATTTCTGTATGTGGCCTTCAAAGAACTACTTTTCTGAAAACTTTTTAATTTTTACCTTGCTTAGGACGAAGGTATGATTTTTGTATCCACATTTAATTGAATATCAGCATGTCATGAAACATTGAAATGAAGATGACAGTTTCAGGGGAAGTCACTCTAATCAAGTGCTCTGCCTTTCATGTGTTTAGTATAAACATTGGCAGAACTAGACAAAACATGTTTTTCAAAAAATTTAATTGTATTATACATAACCCACTTACGATACCACTAACTGTTTGTGAATGGTCTGTTTGTGTGTAGGTGAAAACTCAAGAATCTGAATCAACAGACAGACATTTTCAAACCTGCTTGCTGTCTGTCAAAGAGTAAGTACAAATCTCATGTGTTAACTGTATAAAAGATTTGCTTGTGTCAGAATCCTGCTTATTTTCTTAGTTTAAAATAGATGGCCTTTTTCTTTACATGAAAGTTTATTTTTTGTCAAACATTCATGTGCTCTGGACATGTTATGTGATCCATTTTGACATTGCTCACTGAAGCTTCCTTTAATGCCTCACAGTCATTGATGATGATTGTAGAAGCCTCCTCCAATGCCTCACAGTCATTGCTGATGGTTGTAGAAGCCTCCTCCAATGCCTCACAGTCATTGCTGATGATTGTAGAAGCCTCCTCCAATGCCTCACAGTCATTGCTGAGGATTGTAGAAGCTTCCTCCAATGCCTCACAGTCATTGCTGATGATTGTAGAAGCTTCCTCCAATGCCTCACAGTCATTGCTGATGATTGTAGAAGCTTCCTCTAATGCCTCACAGTGATTGCTGATGATTGTAGACGCTTCCTCCAATGCCTCACAGTCATTGCTGATGATTGTAGAAGCTTCCTCAAATGCCTCACAGTCATTGCTGATGATTGTAGAAGCTTCCTTCAATGCCTCACAGTCATTGCTGATGATTGTAGAAGCTTCCTCAAATGCCTCACAGTCATTGCTGATGATTGTAGAATCTTCCTCTAATGCCTCACAGTGATTGCTGATGATTGTAGAAGCTTCCTCCAATGCCTCACAGTCATTGCTGATGATTGTAGAAGCTTCCTCAAATGCCTCACAGTCATTGCTGATGATTGTAGAATCTTCCTTCAACGTCTCATGATAAAATACTCTATTACTCGATTCGAGCATCTTCAAGTATTTCTGGCAATGTTTGTCGATGGCGCTCTACAACACTGTCTGTCAATGAATACCCAGACACACCATACGTTGGAACACAAACACTTAATTAGTGACTAGGGTTCTTCTTTATTACGTTTATCTGTCCAGCTGATTCACCTGGTTACAGGATCTCCTTAAAACTACATAGTCTATCCAAAACACAGGAGCTGTCACTCATGCACGTCTCGTGACTATCTCCTTAATCACCTCTCCCCTTTCCACTCTCTCTATCTCACGTGTTATATCCACACACTTGTGTTTTATTCTATTCCTGTCATCCAATGATCATTCAGACACAATCTTAACACTCATGACACAACTCATGAAACCAAACAGTTTTCCTACTAACAACAGAACTACACATCTGCCCACTCTTCATTACATGGATAATTGTCATCACACTGACTCATTGGATAAGTTCATCTCCACTCTTCTCAGTGAAGTTTTTGTTCATGTTATAATCACACTAAGTCACTAATGAAAACATTTGTCTGGTTTACTTCCAGTTGCACTGAATTTTTGAAGTCTCGTCCAGAACTTAAAGAGGTAAAGTAATTATTTGACATCGTGTGTTCGAACATGACAGCTCTAAAACTCAATGGTTGTCACTGTTGAGTTTTCTCTCCTCTGCTAATGTAGACACAAAAATAATATTAATTCAATTGCGCCATTGGATACTAATTTTTCTACATAAAAATATATATTTTAAATTATAACACACAACAGACAAAGGTTTGATGTGACATTGGGCTAGTAATAAATATATAAATATACATAATAAATATATAAATATATTTAAGTAGTTTTTAGTGAAACCTAAATTAACAGCTAGAAGTTAAAATATTTTTTAAGCTAGGTGTGTGATTTTAACCTTAAAAAATAGCTTCAAATATACAGATTTTTCATAGAATGAACAGTATAACATATTTTTTAATGGTTTTAAATACTTTGATTTTGATGTTGTCAATGCATTTATGGGGACTTAAAAGATATAGCATTTTGAAAATTAAAACATGAATTTTGATTCAGTGCTTAAAAGACTTTTGTTATTGATTAATGTTTAAGGTTTTCTTTTTTTCTTGTTTGTTTGTTAAAAAAAGTCTTTAGAAAATCTGAATGTCAAGATCAAAGAGTTTGTGTCCCACTATATGGTACTACCTGACTACCTGGATGAGGCTGCCCACAGACTGGAGGAGATCAGTACACAGGCCTTTCAGGTGACCAATTTAAACTTGGTTTGAACAATGGACATATTTTAAAATGATAGCTTAGAGATCCAAATCTTGGAATATTTACATTGTGTTGCATTAGCTCCCTATTTATGTCAGGACTTGCCAATGAAGTGCCAACTCAGAGAGATTAAAATAAGTAACAGTGGACTTTACACATTTCTCACCTTTTTAAATTAATAACTTCTTTATTCAGTCCTCAAAAAAATGAGTTTTTCATTTTGTTCGATTGTGGTCTTTCTGTTAATTTGACTAAAAACTTGGCAGGAGATGGCAGGCAAGTTGAAACCAATAAAGTCCAATCCTAAAATGAAAGAAATGCTTGCTGGAACCATAGAAAGGTAAATAAAGCTAACTGAAGGTGGCAACGTTTGTACATGTTTTTATTATTTTACATTATTTTTCTTTCTTCTCACTTCTGGTATGTATGAAAATAATTGAAGACCTTAGTGCTAAAAGTACTTAGGTCACAAAATGCTCATCTTGAGATAGTCACGTTCAAATATTCTTTTTGTGATCATTTTCTTTTTTTGTCTTGTTTATTTAAAGGACTTAGGTAAATTTTACAGTGTTCAAATTTCTGCAGTGAACTTGGCTATACTTGATAAGAAAAGGTCACAGTTTAGATTTATTTTGACAAAAATGTGACTTATGTACTTTTAGCACTAGGGTCTTCAATTTATGATTTTAATTACCAAAAATGGTAGATTAGCCTACATCAGGTTTACACCCCCTCCCCCCGAATCGCCAGGTTATATTTGGGGCCACAAAATCTTTGAAAGAAGAACTTAAGATGTATATGTATAAATAAAGAGCACTTTTAGAAAATTAAGACAATTTAATAAAAAATAAATAATGCAGGGTAGGCATGATGGAAGTAAAAAAACAAATGTTAAAGTGGGCAATGAGCAATGAACTCTAGAGAAATGAAAGACTACATAAACTGAAGAGCATAGTTATATTACCTGTTCTGACCAAAAGGTAGAGAAACTTCAACTGATCACCAGATTAGTTTACCTGAGCCAACCAGAGTGATTAGAAAACCTGAGCTGACCCCCTCAGAGAAATTAAATGTTACATTTTTTGGTTGCAATTAACTGTATCCTACTGCTTCACTCAAACAGTTTCCTGTCCTTTCCAGCTACCTGATGAATGCAGTCTATGACAAACTGTTTCCTGTCATATGTCAGCACATGTCAGCAAGAGACAAAACACTGTTGGCCAAATGTCAAAAAGTCAGCAAAGTCAAGCCTGAACAGATTGGAGTCAAGAGAGAATTTTCCTGTCCACTACCTATGGCTGTAAGAATGCTTCTCCTGTTTGAAAAAAAGGCAGTTAAAAAAACAACCAAAATTTAAATTTCTAGCCAGTTTTTTTTTTATTCAAGAATTTAAAATTAATTTTTCAAAATATTTTTCTTTTTTTTTTTCAAACTCTCTAATTTTGGAAACTTGATAGTTCCTTAAATAAGTTTGTCCCAGTAAATATTTGTTTAGGTCTTGAGACTTCCCTAATACTTAATATTTAGATTTTAGATATTCAATCATTTAAAAATTCATGAAATTCTTTTCAGTTTTATATGATATTGTATCCAAAAAAAACAAGATAAAACATGGTTAATTTAAAATTGTTAAACAAAATAGGAAATCAGGGTGAAAATTGAACAGAACAGATTGTTGAGCAATGATTTTATGTCTTTTACATGGACAGGTTGTTGAGCTGGCAAATCTTGGATCATTGCGCACTCCGCGAGAGAAATTGTTTTGTTTGAAATCCACAGTGGTATGTATGTTTTCTGTTGTGTGGTATGGGCTTGTCGATCACAAAACCTTGACACGTTTGAAGACATAAACAAGTTTGATCCACAACTGTTTTATCATCAGACGGATATAAAATCATTCCAAATGTTAAGTCAGCACAGTGCTTCGATGGTGGAGTTGTCACCCTCACAACAAAGACTTAGCTGGTTTGAATTTCCTTATGTTAGCCCTGTCAATCAACTCATCTTGGAGAGAATGAGTTTAAAAAAATTAAATAAAAAAACTCCCCTAACTTGTGGGTTAAACTGGCTGGACACTGACCAGGGGTCAAAATATGGAGGACTAGCGTTCTGGGCACAAAACCTGATGCTGTGAACACTCGCTGTAATATCGCCAGATAAGCTGCAGATGCCAAACAAAAAATCAAATAAAGGAGATTCTAAATGTTTTAAAAAAAGTAAAATAAAAATTTTGATAGTAGACTTTACAAAGCACATTGATGAATATTGTGTTTTGGGAATGTTGATTTTGTGTCGGGACAATGTAATAAATACAGCATTAGCCAATAAATACACTGTTGGAATAATGTGTCATAGACTCTCAATTATTCAATAACTTATTAAGAACAAGGACATGTTTAACATATAAAAAAAGGAAGCGTTTACTAACAAGGAAGTGTTTAACTTATAATAACAAGGAAGTGTTTAACTTATAATGAAAAGGAAGTGTTCACCAAGAAGGAAGCTTTAACACCACCATTAATGAATTATATATTATGACAGGAAAATGACTGACTCATTCCTTAATCCACCAGGACAATATCACCAAGGGAATAGCTGTGTCCATCAATGAGATTCATCAGGCGCCCAACCCTGTGGGATTAGAATTAGGTCAGTTATTTCTTTACTCGCGTGTTCTGGGAGTTTTTCTTACACCAATAGCTAAACTCTAACCTTCACAGCACCATCTCTTCCATCTGTCTTTAGATACGTCAGATAGTCTCATCTCTTACCACAACCCTTTCTTCCATTACGTTGTTTGCAACTGATAGTCTCGTATCTTCCATCTATCCTTTGATATGTCTGATAGTCTCATCTCAGGCCACAACCCTCTCTTCCATTAGCGGTTCATATCTGCAGCAACAAAAACATCCTCCATCCATAACTGTCTACCTTCAGCTGTCCTAGCTGCCTCATCTACTGCCATAACTCTGCCGTTTTATGCAGTTGCCATAATTGTTACATTTCACCCCTTAAATCTCCCATCTCTCTCCCTACACCTGCCCAGTCCAAAGCATCACTGACTTCTCTAATGCGTTATCATCACTGACTCCTCTCATGCTTTTCTTGTCTTCAGCAAAGCCAGAAGCTTGCATCACAACAGATGACCTAATTCCTATACTTGTGAGTATGTGTTAAAAAAAAAAACCCTCACAAAAAATCCATATTTAGAAATTAGTATCAAACCAATTTGTTAGAAACCTGTTTGCAGGAAACCAATTTGTTAGATATCAGTTTGTTAGAAACCAGTTTGTTAGAAATCAACTGTTAAAAATCAATTTGCTAGAAATCAATTTGTTAGAAACCAATTTGTTTGAAATCAGTTTGTCAGAAATCATTTTGTCAGAAATCAATTTTCTAGAACGAAATCGATTTGTACAGGGGAATGTTGTTTGAATGGAAGTCTTTGTTTCTGTTTTGAGGATAATTATATTCATCATCATAGGTCTTTGATTTAATCAATTACTTAATATCATTCTTTTATAGAAACAAATTTTAAGAAATCATAGAGTTAAATTTAACAAATTTCATTTTTATATCCATATTATTATAACTTTGTATTTTGGTCATTCTTATTTGTTTCCTTCACTGCATATTTGTTTAAGGTTACTGTGATAGCTAAGGCCAAGTGTTGTCATCTGAACAGTGATTTGTTTTACACAGAAAAGTTTATGTGGACAGCTGCAGACAGAGACATGGATGACCTGGGGTAAGTGGTGGTTGCCATGGCAACAGTGGGGCAACAGTGGCATGGATGACCTGGGGTGATTGGTAGTTGCCATAGCAACAGACAGACATGGATGACATGGGGTAATTGGTGATAGCCATAGCATTAGAGACATGAATGTACTAGGGTAAGTGGTGATAGCTATAGCAGCAGAGACATTGGATTACCCGGGTAAAGTGGTGGTAGCCATAGCATCAGAGACACGGATGACCTGGGGTTAGTGATGGTAGCCATATCAACAGAGACAGCGATAATCCGGGTTAGTGGTTGGTAGCTATAGCAACAGAGACAGGGATGACCAGATTTAAAAAGTGCTGGTAACCATAGTAACAAAACTCTGAATGTCAATTTTTTAAATTTTTTTTTTCCATTTATAAAAACATTACAGAATTCTTGAAAATTGTACAACTTTGTATTTACCTCACCCTTCACTCCTTCCACTGTATGGCTCTCCTGGACGGCTCATAACAAGATAGTTGTCTAACAATGTACAACATTTCAGGTTTTGCTTGGTGTCCTTCAAGGCTGCTGTACAATACATGGCTGAGGCTGACTTCACAGATTTGAAAGAAACAGATGAATCTGAGGTCAGTTGCAGGTCAAAGTTTAAAAGGTCGGCAGCCTACCATGTTGGAATGGGAACCCAGGAGATGCATCTCTCAGCTCCTTAGTCACCGTCCATAGGGTTACACCTGGTCGAAAACTTGAATCTTCTTTATTTTTTTATGGAGTCTTATGCAGAGGTTATTCCATATAAAATGTTGATACCTGCTCTAAGAAAAGTCATGCTGATCAAATGTATTGATTAAAATATTTGTTTTCTTTCTTGGAAAACTCTATGATAGAGTGTAGCAAGGGTTTATGCCGCCCGGGGCTGGCCAAGATTTGTGCAGCCAGCCCCTACTTCCGAGCAAATAAAATTCACCGATGGCAATAATGTAGGCCTTCGGCCAATAATGTAGGCCTTCGGCCAATAATGTAGGCCCTTGGCCAATAATGTAGGCCCTCGGCCAATAATGTAGGCCCTCGGCCAATAATGTAGGCCCTCTGCCAATAATGTAGGCCCTCGCTCAAATTTAAGAAAAGAAAAGTCCTTCCCCTGAGTTGGACCCCCTTTCTCTCTCCCTCCACGACACTTTCCCACTGCACTCAATGAGAGGCATTTTAAAAAAATGCTGGAATGTTTGTGAATCTAATTTTGTGAATGTTTCATTAAAGCGTTTTTATCACCTGGCTCTTCAGATCAGTTTGGAAGATCTGATGGCTGCCACCAGCTGCGCGGGTGAGTCCATCAGCAGCAGAAACAGATCATCCCACCATGTTTTACCTGACCTGGACGTCAAGAGTAGACGTGAGAGGCAGCTCAATAGGATCAGTGGGCTGCTGGAGAGGACAGTCCTTGACTTGAAGAGTGACAAGAAATCCCAAACGAACTCTCAGCAAATACAGAGCATCTTCCCTGGTCAGAATTGTTTGGGCATTGCTCACTATATAACATTGATCCCTCTATACCAAGGGTTCTCAACCTGTGGGTCGTGACCCCTTTGGGTGTCAAAAGACCATTAGACAATGGTCGCCTAAGTACAATGAAAAACACATATTAATGAAGTAGCAAAAAAAATAGTTTTATGGTTGGGGGTCACATCATGAGGAACTGTATTGAAGGGTTGTGGCATTATGAAGGTTGAGAACCACTGCTCTATGCTGATGTTGTTATTTTTTTATCATTTTTATTCATTGTATTACTATTAACCATAGCTAATGAAAAAGCACACCTGTTTAGATTTAATAAAATGATGTCACCATGTATGTAACAAGACCACTTTAATTTTTTGGGGCACCACTTCACTCCTGTGGCTCACCTTGCTTTGGTCATATAAATTTAACAGTCAGAAATGGATGTGGTTACTGAAAGATAAAATATTTCTCTTCAGATCGTGTTTCTGCCAAGCCGGAAGTTGTGCAAGTTCAAGGAAAGGAAAAGTCAAAAGTTCAACTAGGGTAAGGTGTCTGTTTCTGCAGTTAGTATCACCGTGGTTTGGATATATTTAAGAGTTCACTAAGCCTTAAGTTCACTAAACCTTGAGTTCACTAAGCCTTGAGTTCACTAGTGTTGTTTTTCCCCCTCTTCATAAGGGGAAAAAAACAACACTACTGTCTATTATAACAAGTTTGAATTTTTAAAACAGATTTTTATTTGCTGTGTTTTTCAGGGATTTCCTCTCAGCCTTACAAGAGGATGATTTTGATCAGTCTTTTGGTAAACAGACGTAGCAGCCTACCGGGTACTTAAAAACAATTGCAACCCATCCTTCCCCACACATCAATCATCTACCATGGTCTGGAGTTGACAACACGCCTCTGATCAAGACACCATCTATCAGTTTGAGCTGCTTTTGCTCACACAATAAAACAGTACATCAAACAATCGGTGCAGAGCTTTACATACGAAGCCAGTTATCAAGCCCCTTGGCTCAACCATCATGTGAACACATTGGCTCGTCTCATTTAGAGCATTTAATGAAGTTTTCTTCAGCTGGGTTTCACCACATAAGGTCATCCATCCATCCATGCATCATCCGTACACTCCAAGTGGAAGCATCCATGTATTCCAAATGGATCAACAATCCATCAGTGTGGTCGCTACAAAATATGCATATAAAATTTACTATTCTTGACTTTGACTATTCCACGGCTGGGACCAGTTTCGGTTATTGTTCTTAGACTGCCTGTTTTACAGTAATTGGTGCAATAAGTCTGTCAAGAACACATTTTTAAAGGTTGTTGAAATGCCTCAGGGATATCGCTTGACTGGCCAGCAATCTGTTACACTAAAATATCTTCTTTCTTTCAATGACTAAAGTGATAAGAATCTGCACAGACATCTGAATGTCATGTCCCCTATGGGGAAAACAACAAAAAAAGATACCCTGTGCTTTTCTTAAAAGTAATCATCCTTGCCCAAATCTTTCAAATAAGTCTTTTTAAAATGTTTTAAAAAATAAAACATTTTAAAATTCATTCTTTTTAAACTTGAAAGCCTTTTTACTGGTCATAATTCTAGAGAATTTTTTTTTTTAATGAACGCAAGAGCGAGACATTTTTATTACCATAAATAAACTTGGTGTATTATTTTTATTTTAAATAATCACTCTCTGTACAGTGTAATACCTTGACAACTACTTAGCGCTGTCCAGTGTTGATAATAGAATTTTTATTGGACTGCTCCAGCTGTAAGGTTTTACTGACTCCCTTGATGTTTGAAGAGTAAGTGAGTCGTTATTTGCCAGAAGGAAGAAGACAAAGATCCATGTATAGACTTATTGTGAAAAGTGATACTTTTACTCAATTGTCTTTTGACAACCAATCAGTGTTTGTATGTTCTTCATTGTATCAATTAAAATTGTGAAATTTTTTAACCAATTATTCGTGTATATTTTATATGAAACAAAATATTTTTAGAAATCCTGATTAAATTCATGTACATTTGCTATCATTGACTTTGATACTTTTTTGGTTTTAAATTTTTGCTTTGATTTTTGTTGTTCAAAATTTCTGTTCCATCTAATCCCTGTGGTGCTACAGTCCATGTAGGGCTTTGGCCTACCTCACTACTTCCTTCCACTCGGACCATCCATCCCTTCATGTGGCGCTACAGTCCATGTAGGGCTCTGGCCTGCCTCACTACTTCCTTCCACGAAGACTTAACTGATGCTTTCCTCTTCCATGCTTGAATTGTAGATGTTTTTCCACATCATCCATCAAAATAAGTCTAGCCTGGGTCTGCCTTTGAGCCATTTTCCTCTGAGATTTTGGTGATGCACCCTCTTCACTCCTCTGTCCTTTGGCATTCTCTCTAAATTTCCTGCCCAGCAAAGCCTACACATTTTTTATTTCTCCTACTATCCAAATTTATGTTCAACAAATTGAACATCATACAAAATTCCATTTGAACAGATGTCAGGTGTTTTGAATATAATCTTGGTCCTTTCTTGCTAGGGTATGGTCATATTGCCCGTATTGCAACGAACAAGGACAAGGAAACGACTGGGATCAAGGAGTCAACATGCTACTGTTCGCCGCCAGAGAGAAGTAGTTCAAGAATCACTTGGATTCAGTCCCTTTGAACTGGTGTTTGGCCTTTCGGATCACGACCTCTTTAAACGTTTAATATATACGTGGATGCAGGTTCATCATTTGAGTAAGGCAGGGTGGGGCATTTGCCCCCCCCCCCTGAATTTGCAGGTTTTATTTAAATTGCTTTGTACTGTGGCGCCTCCTGTAAAAAAACAACATCACTCATTTCTTGAGTTGTTTACTGTGCTCTGTTCCTTGTGATATTTTCATTTGCCCTATGCGCTGAAGAAGGCTCTATGCCCAAACGTTCAAATCTTATTGTCCTTTCCTTTAATTCAAGCTTCCACATACTTTTTTTGCTAATTCATTTATTTTTGGAAATGTTGAGTAAAATGACGCAGGAAAGGTAATTATTATTGTTGTTTTTTTGTTGTTTTTTTTTGCGGCACATTACAAGGGATTTAAAAATAATTAAATAACATACACTTGTCGGGTGTTTAAAAGGCTAAGTGTTTTATAAAGTTGCGATTTAAATTGCGAGGGCGATAAGTAAATTTTAACCATTGAAACAAAAAATTGAATAAAGCTGAGCAAGACGAGCGAGCATGATACATAGACGAATCACAAAACCGTAATCCCAGAAATAGGGGCCATTCCCGACACCACACTTGACCCCGAATAAAAGAACATAGAGCATAGGCGAATCCCAAACAAGTGTTTCCAAATATTCGCAAAATTCCCTCATTTGACCAACGCCTGCTTTTCCCTCCCATTCTGTAAAGTTGCATGTTAATTTATCAAGAGCCTTTCAACTTTGCTCCCATTCATTAATCATTTCTAACTGGTTGATGAGATTTTATGAGACAAGAGTAGCAATGCCTAACTAGCTGTATTCCCTCATTTGCTAAGTGCTGTATTAAAAATTGTTTAACACAAACCCAACATGGTAATATTTATAGTCTAATATTATTTTTGTTTTATAATTGTTTGTAAAAAAATAAAAGTTGGAACCCTAAGTTTATTCAATTCATTCATTGCGACATTCATTTTGATGTCTCATTATCATGCTCCTATTGTGGGGGGAAAAATCCTAGGGAATGGTAACATTTCCATCATTATGTTTGTCTTACATTCATTTTGATGTCTCATTATCATGCTCCTATTGTGGGGGGGGGGGAAATCCTTGGGAATGGTAACATTTCCATCATTATGTTTGTCTTAATTTTCCTAGGGAATGGTAACATTTCCATCATTATTTTTGTCTTAATTCTTTTTTTTTTTTTTTTTTAAATTATGGAACCTTAGGCTTTTTAATTCATTCATTTATTGAAATTCATCATTTGATCGACTTTTTTAAAATCTGGTTTGAATATAAAATTAGCTGATCAATAATAATTGTTTATAAACGAACAATTTAAATGTCGACCATCAATAAGTATAAGGACACGTGTTTGAACGAAGATGTATGATTCGGTGGAACGAAGAGTTCCTTCAAGACGAATTAACTTTTTAATTGAACTGGTAAAAGGTCAAATTATTCATTAGATATTTAGGCTATTACAATTCACGATAATCCCATTTTTAAAATAAAAAGAATATAAATATCGATACTTTCCCCTGTCAGTTATTCGATGTGCGCAGAAGGTATGCGCGGACGACTTTAGAAATATCTGAATCTTTCGGTTTTCGGCCGAAAGTCTCGTTAAGCTATTTGGTTTCGGCTTCTGTTTCGGCCAAAAGTCGCGTTAAGCTTTTGGCTGAAAGTCATGTTTAAATTTCGGAATGGTTTCGGTTTCGACCGAAATCAGAAAATCACTTTCAGTCGCTCTCCAATAGGGCCAGTGAACCCTGCTCTAAATGAAATTGACGACCTCTGTCTTATCTAGTGGTAAAATCTTGCCCGAATGATTTAGAGATTACCGTTGTAAAGAGCTTAAAAAATTGTGTGTCCATGCAGGTGATGTCTAACATGATTTCATTTCTTATCTGTGTTACCGTGTTATCTCGGGGAAGTATTAATTTTTGTAAGGCAAGACCAAACCCTTACGTCATGGGCAGGCATTCACGATTGGCCAGGTTTCACTGCAGTACGCATAAGCAAAGCATGAATTTAATGTGTAATAGTATACATGTAAAAAACAAAAGTAGGAAAAACACCAGGAACAAGTTTTTTTTTCTTCTGCTGCTGACAGTTGATCCCAAAAACCTTCCCAGAAGACATTTAAAAATATCAAAACTCCTTAGCATATTGTTGAAATAATAACATAAAACATACGGAAAATTAAATTAAAACGTAAAAAAACATATGTTTATAATGATAAAAAATCAATAAGAACACAGATAACAAATTGATTAGTATACTAATATAATTTAAACAAAAATATAACATAAATGGACATCTACACAAACAGATAAATGCTAATTTAAAATTGATTATGTCTCAGGCATAAAAGACTTTCAAACGCAGTAAATAAAGCAAACAATGATATAATTTCTTAACAACGAAATCAGTACTTGGCGACCATTTTATTGTACAAAGTGAAATTTAAATCCATGTATATGAGAATTAGCATATGGTACACGATAAGTACAATAGCACACGACATAAAATTCCAAATAACTGCACCAAAGATGTGTGTTCAATTGTCGCGAAAGCGAAAAATTCCTGCACTACATGGCTTTCTTTTTTTTTTTAAATGATAGTAAGTTTTTTTTTAATTTAATTTTTTTTTCCTGACGAAGGCTTCCTGCCGACTCTTTCGTTGCTTTGTTGCGTTCCCTTTTCAGGTTTTCACATACTTTGTTTTTCTCATTTCCTGTTAACGTGATCCAATTTTATATAAACTACAATTTTCGCGACTTGGCGAGGTTTCGTTGTGCATCGGGTGCAAGACGGCGTCTACCGTATCCGGAAATTTGATTGAAAGAAATGTCGTTGACGGAAAAATGATCGACGGAAATTTGATAAATTTGATCGAATCTTTTTTTCAGTTCACAAGTTAAAATTTTGCGTCAAATTTCTTTTTGAACCCATTATTTTGTTTTACTATTTAGTATAATGCGTTAAAAACAAATTTGACGAAATTTCTTTCGATCAAATTTCCGGTAACCGGCGTCTACAGTCTTAAAAAAGTAATTTGTAGACAACCAAGGCTATATATAAGGCATATTTCCTGAACCATCATCTGTACTACGACAGTAGACAACCAAGGCTACATATAAGGTATATCTCCCGAACCTATCTATCAGTCCTACGAAGGTTTCGAAAACTATGGTAAAAAAAAGGAAAACAAAAACAAAACAAGTTTCGCGTAAGCCTAATAATTGTTTTCAATCAGTTTAAACCTTTTTTTCTCTTTAAACCAAATGTATCGAAAATGACATTTAAGAAAGCATTCCCGTTTAAACTTTGATATCATCTTCAAAGATAACGTATTTCCAGTTTTGTGTGTGTGGTTGTTTTTTTTTTTTTTTTTTTTTTTTTTTTTTTTTTTTTTTTTTTTTTTTTTTTTTTTTTTTTAATTACATTAACTATTTAATTTAAAAAAAAAAAAAAAAAAAAAAAAAAAAAATTAAAAAAAAAAAAAAAAAAAAAAAAAAAAAAACAAGACAACACAAAAACAACTCAGTTTCTTATCATAAAAAGGACTACTAAAAAAAAACAAAAAAAAAAAAAACAAGGCGACACAAAAACAACTCAGTTTCTTATCATAAAAAGGACTACGAACAGACCTGTTGGTTTTTTTTTTTAGCCAGGCCTTCAGCTACGTGTTTCTTGTAGTTTGTGCCGACAGTTATTTCGGTCACCATGTTTGCTTTAGGCCTCGCGATTCTGAGTCTGTCTCTAACAGCCGAGGCACAGAGTAAGTACACAATTAATATGATCCCCCATTTGATTAATAACACAGGCCAACCAAAGAAAAAAAACAAACAACAACAATCTTATTTTCTTGGTGCCTTAAATTGTACGTCTGTTCCCAATGTTGAGGCACTAATATTAAAAAAATCGCAACGGAGTCATCTCAGCTGTTCTAGTTTTTAAGGTTTTGATGAATTTATAAAAATTTAGGTTTGTCCACATATACGGTCATTTTTTTATGAATTTGGATATCATAAAAATTATTTGAATGGGAAATATATATTTATATTTCCAATATTTTGTGTGTGTGTGTACAGACATCTGTCGACTTCCTTCCTAGAAAACGCAATGCCTTAAGAATTTGCTAAGTTCAAAGGTCAAAGTCGACTTTTTTTAATGTTTTATTAGTTAATTGTGTGAAAAATATTTAGTTTTCAAATAATGATCTTATTAGACGACGTAAATTTTAGTTTGACAACCTTCCCCAAACTTGATCTGTTGAAACAGCTGCTTGTAGATTGTATTTTCAAAACGCACCAAATCTTTACTGAGCTTGACAGAAAGAGAATACCTCTAGTGGAGACCGACCGAATTTTGGCTTGGAAACTTCGGTTTCGGCGCCGAAAGCTGCCATTTGACCACTTTCGGCCCAGTTTCGGTTTCGGCCGAAATCAGAAGATCACTTTCGGTCGGTCCCTATTCTCTTATAAGGTTATTTGGTGCCAAGATCTTATCGGTATTTCTTTATTCTTGTTGTGGGGTGAAAAAGAAGCTTTATTACGATAGTTTAGTTCGTTGGTTCAGAGAACCCTGAAGCGAAGAGTACAGTGAACATTTTCACAATGAAAATTGCATGCAGCCGCAGCCAGGCACCAAGGTGGATGAAATGCACGTATGATGGAGATTCATTCAAGAATCTAATTCGAGATTGTCCTGGAAGATCATATCTGACGACGTTTAATAACAAAGGAACTTCCTTCCTGCTGATTTATAATACAAAGTCTCCAGTAGATCTGTTTCTTTTATATATATATAATAAGCCTATTCTCATAAAGCGCATTCGTCTTTAAATAATTAACATAATGCTTTAAGCTTAACAATGAAACGTGTTCAATAATTCAAAAACGAGATCTTTTAGGCGAAAACTGGTACAATTTTTGGAATCAGTGGGTTAAATATACATTTTAAAAAAACATCTAATAATCATCGGGTTAAATATACATAGGAAAAAAATCTAACATTGTAGAACCAGATCTTGTTAAATTGATTAGATTTCCGTTAAAAAAAAATAATGTTTGGTGTACTTTTAGAGGATTGTATTTTTCGCGATATTGAACATAGCATTACAGCCATTACATTCCCAGAGAATTATTGTTTGTGATTGATAAACTTTTATAACCTTGCCAGCGCGAGTTTGTACAAACCACCCCAGTGGAATATGTGTCAGCATGTACACAAGCAGCTGCCCAGCTGGGACCTACGTCAGCTACAGGTAAGTACTTCATGAGAACAGGTTGTGTGTTTCCGTTTCTGAGTTTGGTGACCGGGGACCAGGGACCGGGGACCAGGGACCGGGGACCAGGGGTGGATCGAGGGATTGAATCGACCCTGGGCGATTTCAGATAAGTCGGTCCCCGGTCACCAGGGATCTCTAGATCCTTTGTTTCGAGTGCTTTAATGGGTCCATGTCTCGGGTGTACACGAAGGCCAGAGTATATTTAAATATATATATTTAAGAAAAAAATGATTTCTATTATTCAACTAATTAATGTCATTAATTATTTTGTCAAGCTGACAAAACAATCAAAACATGCAGATGAAATCTTGCGACCCGCCATTCGTGACGCACTTGCGCTTTACTGCCAAAGGGGGTCGTAAAAGTTAAGCTTTGCAGGATTAGTAACGTAATACCACTGTCAGACATTTACGACCAAACAACCGCAGCGTAGTTTGTGGGTATATGAAGTCAACGTAGTGTATTGGGTATACTAAGGTGGTGTAGTTTATTTAGTAGGTAAATGAAGGACATGTTGTTTAAGGGTTGTATGAAGGTGAAGTAGGTTATTGGGGTGAAATTCAATGTTTCCCAATTTACAGAGCTGTTGACACGTGAGTTACATTCATTTTTCTCTGCTCCTACTTCTCCACGCAGCGGCTGTGGTTTCCTGGAGAACTGCTGCTACACAAACCCTTACGACAACCTGGGCGGTGTGGTAACAGCTGCACATACAGTTGCACATACGACTGCACATACCACTGCACATACAACGGCACATACAACCAGCAGACGTAAGTAGTTAATGATCAAATCTGCCAACGTATTGACATCGTGCTATCTGATAGTTAAAATATATATATATATATCAGGGAAGAAATTGATAGCAAACATTTGTTTCTTAAAATTGTCTGATGTGACAGTTTTACTGTGCAAAAAACTGTCTGGTGACACTAACTTAGAATGACACATGTCATTTAACCACAAACATGTATTGACATCCCCCTCGTGGTCATTTGATTCTCCCCCCCCCCAACCTTTTCTCCCCAGCAGCAGTGACAGTGTCATCGACGTCCGGTAGTCAATGTGGTGTGACAGTTTACAACGCCGGGACGAAAATTGTCGGTGGACATACGACAACCATAGACAAATACCCGTGGCAGGTCAGTGTTTGATGGACACGTACACTTGTGAGGTCAGTGTTTGATAGACACGTGCATGTGGCCGGTCAGTGTTTGATAGATACGTACAATAATGACGTCAGTGATTGACAGATACGCAGACTTGTCACGTCAGTGTTTGGTAGATGCGTACACTTGACAGGTCAGTGATTGTATGACATAAACGATCTGTAAAAATGCTTGTGTACGGAGTGACATTTGAGAGCCATTAAGGACCAATATATATGTTGTAACACATTATGTGTATTTCAATAAAAAAATATAATATAATAAAATAATAATTGACATCATTTAAATGCCGTGATGACATACGCCTTAAAACAATATTGTATGTCGAAGTTTCAACTTTATTTTGTAATAACTCTACTACTAATTAATCCCCCATGCCCCACCCCTCATAAAACCACACAGGTGTCATTGAGGCTCTATAATCAACACATCTGTGGAGGTTCCCTAATCTCAAACCAGTGGGTTCTTACAGCAGCACACTGCATCAAAGAGTAAGTCTAAAAATACTTATTCAGGGGACCGGTGCAATGTCCATATGACATTTGGGGGCGCGGGGGGCAGGGGGGTCATTTCAGGGTTTTTCCGGGGGTGAGGGCAAAACCAAAACTTGGTCAGCTTGTTAAGTAGTTTATTACTACTGGAGGCGCCACAAGTACATAGAAATTTAAATAAAACCTGCAAATTCGGGGGGGGGGGTTTGGATGCCCCACCCTGCCCTAACCAAATGACGTCCCGAGGGTGAAAAGGGGGGGGGGTTGGTTCACTTTATCACAGACACTTCTGAGGCTCGGACAATAACTTAACACCCCGGCCGGATGAAGGAGACATGGTGAGCCCTTATCCTGGGCGTACGTTTATGACGCCTCCAGTCAAAAGTACAACGACAGCCAAACGTGCCAGCGAAACGAAGGAAAGAAAAAAAAGTTGGCGGAGAAAAAAACAAAACAAAACATTTTCATTTCTCAATGGTGACATTGATGGACTGGAACTCATGGTGACGGATATGGATAATTGGGGTCAGGGAGGGGGAGGAGGAGGGGGGGAATCAGTTGCGACTCTTGACTTATTTCTGTCTGGGGCGATCTCCCAAATAGCGCTTCCCCGTAACAAACACGCATCACTTTATATAATAAAAGGCATGCACATGTATGTATATAAATATATATAAACCCAAAGTTACCCCACCCCCAATTCGCCCCCGTTCCCCCCCACCCCTTGTAAGGCTCTGGAAAAGAGCACAATTTTGACTGTCTGGGTGACCACGCAGGTTCGTGAATAGCTTTGCTTGTATTTTTTTTTTTTTAAAGGGGGGGGGGTGGGGGCTCGTTACTTTAGGTGTTTGGGGAGTGTTATGTTTAGGCTAAAAGTAGGGGCAACATTACTCGAATGTGTTCTTTTCAAATATTTTTTTTTTTTTTTAATTTTTTTTTAGTAGCCAATGCCTCATGAAATGTTTCTCCTCCTAGAATGGGCCAAGTGACGACCAGCATGTTCAGTGTAGTGGTCGGCAGCACCAGCAGCTCCCACTACGCAAGCAGCCTATACCACAAGGCCCTAGGTATCTACACCCACGCAGAGTAAGTCAGGTTGTAGCAGTAAGCTCCGAGCCACCGAGGTGTAACGTCACTAGATCATAATTTTTTTTTTTTTAAAAACAATTACAGCTGTCCTGTTTTTTACCATGGTGTACGCCCCATATGATTGTGGTACCTAATCATTGATCTCTTATTGTTCATGATATCCAAATAATTGTTCTTATAATTCTAATCAGTGCGGTGCAAAGGAAATGCGTTACCCGCGCGGGGGGGGGGGGGGGGGGGGGAGGGGGCGCCTGAAAATGCCGCCCCCAAAAATCTATAGAAATAAGTGCAGCCTGGGGCGGGCCAGGAAAAATACGATTTTGGCGCCCATTTTCTTTTTGAAGTAATTTGGACTTGAGTGTTTGTTTAAAGAAGATTCTCGCGCCCTAATTGATGTTGCCGCCTGGTCGAGCTCCCCCCTCCCTTTCCCTTTCCCCCTCCACATGGCCCTGTTTCTACTCCTGGTTCTTAACATTGGTTATCCTACTCATTTTTCGTGTGTAACAGCCACTTGTTCAAACGGAACCTAATTACTGTTGTTCACCTATACAACAGCCCCCCCCCCTTTTTTTTTTCTTCGTGTGTAACTGAAGGCGAGCAACTGTTCAAGGGTTCATAGAGCATGATTTTTCCTGACCGTGTGTCATAATATCCATTCTTCAGGTACGTTAAGAATACCAGAAACGACATCGCCCTGATCAAGCTGGACCGACCGGTCAACCTGGCGGACAGGAACATCCAGCACGTCTGCCTCCCCGACCCCAACGAAGATTTCAGCGGTCAAGTCTGTGTGGCGACCGGGTGGGGATCCCTAACGGAAGGTCAGTTGGACGAGAGTAGCGCTTTGGACGGACGCTGACATCGTATTCGTCTTACACCGTTTTCATTGATGTATTGTTCAAACGTGTCTCCAGCTGAAAGAAGGATGTATGTTATTTGTTCTAGAGCGTCTCCATCATTAGTAGTGTATATTTCTTTGACATTTTTAAATCTCCAGCAATAACCAGGGTTTAAACTTTAATAGCCATTCAAGCGTATATCTAGCTGAAAGGAAATGTTACTTGTCCTATAGAGCTTCTCTAAGTAAAGCAGTGAATATTATCTTTTACCCCCATCTTGAAAATTTGATAGCATGTGTTGTCAACGGTAACAAGTCTATGTGTCAAGTTTCAGCTCGATAGCTTGATGGGAAGTGGGTCAATGGGCCGTTCGAAGATTTTGCCACTCAGCCAGCCCGTCCGCCAGCCAGCCACAGACAAAAGCAAAGTTAATATAAAGGATTTAAAAAGAAAAAAAAAGAAATAGTTGTTTTTTTGTGTGGAGAAGGGCAATATCATTTGTTGGGAAACTGTATAAACTGAATTTAAATGGCTAAAATCTACCAATAAGTATCTATTTTTAAAGGACGACGACAATACACAATGAACACCCCCTGAAACTAAAATTTGATCTCATTTTGTCAAGAAATTAAAGCAGAAAACATCGTGCCAATGCTTGATACTTAGCAAGAACTAATATACAATTTTTAAAAAATAATAGGCCTTTATATTGGTGGAAAGGTATTTTAATACACTATTGTTCCGAGTATGCCGTCCTTTAAAAAAAAGCATTATGCAGTTTTTAAAAAACTAGAAATGATGCAAAAATAAATAAATAAATAAAATTGCCGGTATAACATGTTAACAACGGGAAGTAAGCGCTGTGGCCTTTAAGGAACGTCCTCTATTCGGAACAGTGCGGTATTAATGGATCCATTGGTTTATCTAAATTCGCCTTAAATATTCGTCTCGTCAAAGATATTGAACGTATCGATACTTCATTGCTTCCTCTAGTCCAGTACTCGGCAAACTCATTAGTCAAAAGAGTTAAAAATCAGCAGCAGGACGATTAACAAAATTTTGAGAGCCACATTTCTGACCAAGATCCTGTCCAGAACCATGTTTTTCGGAGTCAAAACCGATTTGTGGCTGACATGCTGAGCCGCACTCAGGTCGCTAGAGAGCCGCATGCGGCTTGCGGGCCGCGATTAGCCGAGCACTGCTCTGGATAAGTAATTGTAATAGATGGTAGGAAGAGTCGACCATTTACTACTCTATAGAAATTTTATTGAATTGATGTTTTCATATTTTACGTTTATTTTGTACATATTTTTCTCCGGGATTGAGGGGGGGGGGGAGGGGGGAAGGCAGTGGGCTTGCTCTGGTGGACGGCAACAGTGTCGCCCTGCCCCCCCCCCCCGGGGGAAGAGGTGCCTGAAAATTACACTGAAATGTACTATTGAAGAGAGTCATTGTTGATATGGTTTTAAGAGAGTCATTGTTGATATGGTTTTAAGAGAGTCATTGTAGATATGTTTTTAAGAGAGTCATTGTTGATATGTTTTTAATAGAGTCATTGTTGATATTTTTTTAAGAGATTCATTGTTGATATGTTCTTAACAGAGTCATTGTTGATATGTTTTTAAGATAGTCATTGTTGATATGTTAGGGTTGATGTTTCAGGTGACGAGGCAACGCCTGAAACCTTGAGAGAGGTCAACCTGCCAATCATCAACCGACAACTCTGCCAATATTACATGGGCTCTTTCGCACAGGGGCTCATCTGTGCCGGAAATAGACTTGGCGGTGTTGATACATGCCAGGTGAGCATTTGGTCATTTGGTCACTCTTAGCAGGCACGTAATCAAAAGCTGCCAGGTTGTAAACAGTGTTTCCTTTAAAGGCTTGTAATTTATATAATTTGCACTAACAATAATAATATGTTATTATTATTTCAACAAAAATTAACAAACTTCAAGCATTCCTACTAACCATGAATAACACAAAATTATCAACAGTGGTGTTCTAATAAGCAGTATTCTTCAGTAATGTATGAATTTTTTTTAAAAAAGTATAATGAATATAGGTAGTGGACTGATGACGAAATATACAGAATTAAAATTTTACGTCAGTGCGAATGAGTGTGAGTTAGATATATCAAAACCGTACATTTAAAAGAGTTTTATCATAAAATGTTATCACAGCTGTGGGGTATTAGAACGGTATCACTTTCAAAAGACGATTAGACAAGACAAAGTGGATTTTTAACCACACACCTGACAAGACAAAGTGGGTTCCTAACCACACACCTGACAAGACAAAGTGGGTTTTTAAACCACACACCTGACAAGACAAAGTGGGTTCCTAACCACACACCTGACAAGACAAAGTGGGTTTTTAAACCACACACCTGACAAGACAAAGTGGGTTCCTAACCACACACCTGACTTTTTAGAAGAATCTAAATGTTAAAAACTGGCCATTTGAAGGGAAAAAAAGTTAACGGTCAAATTATCTTTTTTTTTTTTTTCTCAGGGTGATTCTGGTGGCCCTCTGGTGTGTCTGAAATCAGGGGCGTGGAAGGTGGCGGGCATCGTGTCCCACGGTGTGGGATGTGCCCGACAGAACATGTACGGCTTTTACACTGAGGTCTCCAAGTACATAACATGGATCCACAACACCATGGCCCAGCATTAGACAGTGGATGACACCTTTTTATTCCTAATTCTAATGTGTATGCAACGATGGCAGTATTCATTGTTGAACTAATGTTGATGAATAATTTTTAGAATTAAATTGCTGAAGCAGATGTTACCCACCAACACACACAAAAAATGAGTAATGTTATAGCTAAGGAATCAATGTTAAACCTGTCACTTCGCGTCTGTAACCGGGCTTAATTAAGCATATGAACAATATTTGAAGCTGTCACTGTCATACGTAGCTATAAATAATACTCTAGCCCAGGGGTCGGGAACCTATGGCTCGCGAGCCAGACATGGCTCTATTGATGGCTGCATCTGGCTCGAAGACAAATGTTCGATTATAAAAAAAAAAATGTCGCATTAATGGAAAGAAATACTCATTATTGATTAGCAACAGCATAACGATGTTATTAAAAAGAATTCAGAGACATAATTATTGCATTTTAGTGTTGAAATTACACAAAATGCACACATTTACTTGAATTTTTAGTTTTAAATGTAATGTATGGCTCTCACAGAATTACTTTTCAAAATATGTTGTTGTCCATGGCTCTCTCAGACAAAAAGGTTCCCGACCCCTGCCCTAGCCGCTAGGCGATGTGGTTTAAACAGTGACTGATTTTTAATATCGCCACTCACAATATCCGTAATAATAAATATGTTTCACGGGAATATCAAGATACTCCGAATCGCATCACACACATTTCAATTCCTATTATGCTTCCATAATTTAATCTTCTCCACTTAAAAATGTTATTATCGATACATAATCCAGCGGCCTCGGTTCACGCCACTATTATTGATTTTCTCCCCATCTATTACTCAATGAAACACACTGATTGGCCAGCCCTCCTCACAAGTCCCAAACACTCTGTCTCTATTACACACGAAATTCTAGGCATTCTACTTGTCTCCCATTAGTGGTTCACATAATATTCACATCTGTGACAGAAGCTAACGTGTCACGGGAATAAAGTTATTGAATAAACGTAGCTCTACATTTTAACTAGGTTTTTTATGATACTGCTAGAGCAGTGCTTTCCGGACAGTGTGTCGCGACGCAGCAGTGTGTCTCCTGTGCTAAAATAAGTTCTACCAAGATTCATTCATTTTTTAAAAACTAAACACAAAAAAAAATAAAAACCGCCGGGAATTAATTATGGAAATGTATGAGGAAAGTGATGCGGGTGGCAGATATCCAGTGATTATTTCAGAAATGTAGCCCTGGGGGGCACTACAGATTTATCAGGGGGGCAGTGCCAGTTGATTTATTGTTGGACATATTTTTCCTCCGGGGTGAGGGGGGGCACTTGGCTTTCCCCGGGGAAGGGGGGGGGGAGGGCAGTGCCCTCTCCGAGATATAGCTGAAAGAAACCCTGCAGAAATCTTCCTCCTCGCTATGAAGAGCGGCAAAGCAACGTTTAAAACACCTAGCACTTTGGAAAACAGCACGTTACCAATAAAAACGTTAAAATAATCAGCGGCGTTTCTAGGTGCATAACCGTGTCGCATGCACAATTTCAGATCGCTTTCTAAATGATAATATCTACTGACCTATGAAGATTTCACTTCAGAGGAATAATTAATTTAATTTCATTCCGATTTCAGCCGGAAAATTTATGATTATTTATTATTTTATAATTATTATTTTTTAAATATTTAAAAATTTTTAAATTAATTTTTTTTTCTTTCTAATGACCATTGAACTCATCTTCAAATGAACATTATCAACAGAAACCTCTGATTTTGAGAAAGATAATGCAGTGATTTTTTTTCCCCCTTTTTTTTTTTTAAATCCAAAAGAGCCAACAATCGTCCAGTAACAATCAAACTCCCTTGTTTAGGTAGGCAGCACCAAAATGAGAGAAAACAAAATTTACAAATTTAACCGAATTCGTTCGGGGGCGCGCCCCCCCCCCCCAGAACCGGGTGAAACCAGAGCATATTGTTTTCCACCTCCATAGGACCAGACTCGGAGGAAGTCCATGGTGAAGTCATGAGTGGGTGAAAATCATGAGTTGACGTCAAACCCCAATGACACCGCTTTTCCCAGAATTCTGTTTATTCCAAATCAAATGTTTAAGTATCTTTTCCGTGTCAACTATCGTGGAATGCACTCGTACCTCGTATGTTGGGTTTGATCGTCCTCATGTTTGCGGTTTAAAACCAGCGATTCCTACTCAATAAAATAACATTTTGAAAAAAAAAGAATTTTTTTTTTTTTTTTTTTAAATGGTACTTAAAGACAGTTACGCCTTACCGAATATGCTGCCACGGCATGGGCTGGGAGAAGGTGCACATTTCGGAGTTCGCCCCGGGCGGGACTGAAGCAAGTTACGCCACTACAGCAAATTCTAGCAGACACCAGTCAACGCCTTGGCAATTTGCATACAACTTCATTAAGTTGAAAAAATTACCATCAATTTGTCATCTTTTGCCGATCCAAGTTTCTCCTTTCGGAAAAATTGATTGCTGAGTGCCCAGGACACAACCGTTCTTAACGCTATAGTTTTGTCCTGAGAACGGTTTTGGACACCGTCGAGGCTTTAATTCCGTCAAGCCAATTACTGCACCTTGTGTACAGCTACTTTCTTGAACATTCATATTGAGGACATCAAATACTGCACCTTGTGTACAGCTACTTTCTTGAACATTCATATTGAGGACATCAATTACTGCACCTTGTGTACAGCTACTTTCTTGAACATTCATATTGAGGACATCAAATACTGCACCTTGTGTACAGCTACTTTCTTGAACATTCATATTGAGGACAACAAATCATCGGGAAAACCCGGAGCTTATCTCTTTCTCAGAACGACTGGCGGGCTTTCCGCGCGTGACTTGTCTCGTCTTAGTTTTAAGTTTCACTGATGTAGAACCCCAATGCTAAAATGTTGGTTACCAGAAATTTGATCGAAAGAAATTTCGTCGACGGTAAATTGATCGACGGAAATTTGATCCAACGGAAATTTGGTCGAATTTTTTTTTTTTTTTTCAGATTCACACGTTAAAATTTTCGTCAAATTTCTTTTTGAACGCATTACACTATATAATAAAACAAAAAGAAATTTGAAGCAAAATTTTAACTTGAAAACTGAAGGAAAAAAAAGATTCGACCAAAATTCCGTTCGATCAAATTACCGTCGATCAATTTACCGTCGACGAACATTTCTTTCGATCAAATTTCCGGATACGGATGATGTTGAATAGTACCAAGACACAGCGAACCATAACACAACGAAGAAGCCGTATGCTTTAAAATATATATTTCCTTTATTTTCTTTATATTAAAAAAAAAAAAGATAAATTGAGAGCAGCCCCCAGATGCGTTGCTAGGCTATACAAAGTACATCCGCCATGCTGGTTTCTTGTCCTTGCGGTTCACCAAGTCGTATTCCACTGATCTTTTACCCGACACCACAGGATTACCAAAATGTAAGAAAAAAATATAAAAATAAATAAATGTATCAACACAATTGCCTCCGCAGGGGATTGAACCCTGGATCTTCGGTTTACGAGACCGACGCCTTACCACTTGGCCACGAAGGCTATGAATATAAGGGGCCATCTAGTCAATTGATAACTTCTTCCCCGACCGCCCCCTCCCCTCCCCCCCCCTCTTTTTTTAGTTGCTTTTTTTTCTGCCGCCAACCACTTACATAACCGGCACGTGGCTTAAAAAAGAGATTTTAAAAAAATAATAATTGTAATAACTCAAAACATAAGGAAACTATACTGTTCTAAACAAGTCTTAGAGACATTAGAATAGTATATTTTGTTGAGTCCATTTACATTTTAAAAACAAATGTATTCAACTAGGCCTACATCTTCTTTTAGCAACGTGTTTGATACAATTCTTATTTTTCTCTAACACTCAATTAGTCTCAAAGCCGATTCGCTAGTCTAAGGGGTCGTCCATAAAGTTCGTCACGCTATTTTTGACAATTTTTTTACCCCCTCCCCCTTGTCACAAACTGTCACAAATCTCGGACACCCCCCCCCCCGAAAGTACGTCACACTTTCCGAACACATTTAAAAAAAATTTTTTTTTGATACAATTCTTATTTTTCTCTAACACTCAATTAGTCTCAAAGCCGATTCGCTAGTCTAAGGGGTCCTCCATAAAGTTCGTCCCGCTATTTTTGACAATTTTTTTACCCCCCCCCCCCCGTCACAAACTGTCACAAATCTCGGACACCCCCCCCCCCCGAAAGTACGTCACACTTTCCGAACACATTTAAAAAAAATTTTTTTAATTTAATCTAAATCGCACTTCACTTTTAAACTGTATTAAAATATAACATTTCCACTAAATTTCCACTATCACATTATTAAAATGACTTTAATAGTAGAATAGTTAATTGTCAACAGTTTTCACAGTTATTCATTGAAGCAGTAGCTCAATCTAGATGGAATTTGAAAACAAAAATTGCAAAAATTAGACTGGACTTTTATATAATACACATCATTTATCTGCTGCTTGTTCATTTACAATAGGTGAGGTCAAGTTTTAGATAATCTTCCGTTTATGCAATCTTTTTACACAGGTTAAGAAGTATATTAGAGAAACTTGACCTCACCAAATGATTAAATAATAAAAAGGAAGTGACATAATTATGCAGCGGACAACATAGAAATAATATTACTTAAGGAAATACGAAAGCAAGGCTGTACATAAAACAAGGCTTCGCAACAACATACTAGCGCCCCTAGCGAGAGTAATCATGAAGTACACATTCAGGAGATACGCATTTCATGCTATTTTGACATAAAACTAATTCAAATGTTTCACAAAATTTTTGAAAATTATTTTTAAAGTTATTAAATTCCACTAAAAAATAAATTAGAAATAAAATTTAAAAAAAATAACTGAGTGACGTCACACATGGCCTCCCCCCTGTCACAAACTGTCACACTTTCTTACACTCCCTCCCCCCTCTGGAGCGTGACGTACTTTATGGACGGCCCCTAACTGGCTTTCTGTCGGCCATGTTCTTGACCAGTCCAACTGGCTTTCTGTCGGCCATGTTCTTGACCAGTCCAACTGGCTTTCTGTCGGCCATGTTCTTGACCAGTCCAACTGGCTTTCTGTCGGCCATGTTCTTGAAGCGAGGTCTTGAGTTTTATAGTTGCTCTTGATCTTTTGCGATTTTATAAAAAATATTCTTTAGGCCTACTAGGGCACTCGGGCTTAACTGGGTGCAGTTTTATATACCGGGTCCAGGTATTTTGAGGAAATAACCGATAGGTCCAAGTGTTACAACAAACAAAAAAACAACAACAAAAAAAAAAAGGTTAACTTCTCATTTTCTTTAATATTTGCTGGCCTTTAAACAACAGTCCTACCGACATAATTATACCCCACCTACAGGCCTTTAATTTTAAACAATAAGCCTACAGACAGTCCTTACACCCTACCTGCTGGAATTTAAACAAAGAGGCCTACAGACAGTCCTACACACATTCCTATATCATACCCGTGGCTCTTTATTGATTAAGATAATAGTCGCCTCCGAAAAAATTCAACATTTTTTTAAACCCGAGTTCAACCGTCACGCATGACGCTTGCTGCTTGATAGCAATTTTTCCCCCAATCGGTACTATAACTATAAAACATGTTGAGCAGGAGGGGGTCCGGTTGTGAAAAGGAAGCAGCCATGCCAGAAGCAAAAAATATATATAGGATATTTTGTCAAAATCAACATTTCAACATCCTCTTCTGGTGTTTAGTCTACATTCTGCAAATGTTTTTTTAAAATTTTTTTTTTTTAAATTTCCGATAGAGATCTTTCATAAAAGACGTCCACAGAGACGTGATGGTGCATGGGGAGGGGCTTCACGCAGAGACGCGGGGAGTGGAGGGGGGGGGAGGTCTTCAAAGGCAGACAAGTGTGAACTGGAAGTGGTTAAGATTAATTAAGTAGGAATAGGATTAAAGAATATTTTAGTTTTGTATACTGTACCTGAATAAGTTACTGTACCTGAATAAGTTACTGTACCTGAATAAATTACTGTACCTGAATAAGTTACTGTACCTGAATAAGTTACTGTACCTGATTAAGTTACTGTGTCTGAATAAATTAATGTACCTGAATAAGTTACTGTACCTGAATAAGTTACTGTACCTGAATAAGTTACTGTACCTGAATAAATTACTGTAGCTGAATAAATTACTGTAGCTGAATAAATTACTGCACCTCAATAAATTACTGTAGCTGAATAAATTACTGTAGCTTAATAAGTTACTGTAACTGAATAAGTTACTGTACCTGAATAAATTACTGTACCTGAATAAGT